GGTGTGAAAAAGAAAGAATAGATATATAATGGGGTGAAAAAGATTTTGACCCTTAATATAAATTAGACAATTAATATCAAGAAGAATAATAATAACAATAAATAATACTCGAAAGATCCATAATAAACGAGGTGATGCAGTCTACCCACCTTAACAGGAATTCTGTCCTCGCAATTCAAAAACAAAACAACTAGAAAGTACTAGAATACAAAGGGGAATGACAAAACATGAAGTTCAGGTACTCCCTCCAAATTTCAGTCTCCCTCTCCCATGTCTTCTCGCCCTCAACTTGACTACCCGCAATGGACTTTGATGAGTACCCCTCATGGCCTTTTCCAGATGGACCCTCAGTTCCAACAGGTTATCGGTACCTCCATAAAGGTAGGATTCTGCGTATCACGCAGCTTATCATAATTCACACGTACCTCGAGATCACGCACATATTCCCTCCATCATGAGGCATAGAATGTTTCATGCATCCTCGTAAGCTCCGGTGGTAGAGTCAACCATCAGGCTAAGTCATTGAATTGGTCGAGGAATCATAATAGGACTGAAAATCATCAACATCTCTTATCCACAATACTGGTACCTTTTGAATACACGGTTTTGTTTGATACCACTGACAAAGCCTCACTTCTTGCCGACACAAGTAACATCTAGTATGGGGTTTAGGAGGTTATAACTAGATATACTGAAATGATCTCATATCGCAGAGTCGATATCACAAATGGGGATGCTCGATATTTCTCTACTAACCATCTAGCTCTAACACTCTCTCATTCTTCGTAGGTCTCGATCTCTATGAAGTACCCATAGTCTCTAATCGAGACTCAAGGATCCGCTCAACATCAATGCGGGAGTACTATCTTGCCATCTCGAGAAAATATCGCATGTGGCAAAGGAAACTAATCGACAAGTCTCACACAATCAAGAATTGTAGATTAGGGAATTCACACAACGATTTGAAAGACATTTGGCAAAGAATACTGATTCAATGGCCCAAGGGAATAAGGTCGGTTCGGGGTTTCATGCAGTGTCACCCGAAGGGTGGCACACAAGCTGGCACTCCATACGTGGGGCGCTGGGACGTGTGTATATACCCACTCGGAGACCAGTTTCAAGGTTGCGGTTTGGACATGTGCACTAGCTTGAGGAGTCCGTGCATTCGGTGATGGCGGCAGCAACACTTGTGCGAGTCAACGGTTGGCCTTGCAGTTGGCCTCATGTCTCTCAACACAAGCATGCGTGCCCGACCACCACTTCGCGTGCTACACCCAGCCAGGGTAAATGTTCGGTTCAAGGTACATACCAGAAATTTCAATTTTCGGGTTCGTAATTTCTTGTGTACTCAGATAGGGAAAAGGTTTCTCCACAAGGCTTCAAAACTACTAAACTTTGGTTTAACAACAATTTCCCAAAGGAATCAAACATTGACATCACTGCCAAGAATAATCCTAACTCGGCGGTCATCGCCGAACAATGGAATGGATAGCTCGTTTGACTCTTCCGACTAACACTGTCGGCCGTCACGACAAATTTTACTCAGGTAGCTAATCGTGCCGACAGTCCTAAACTAGTTCGATCCATATATACTGCCTATGACTTCCACACTTCAAGATCTAAAGCTTTTCTCGTAAGTGTTTCTAGTCAACAATGTAACACTAATCAAATCAAGTCATATAGGGCGCATAAGCATGCACAATGAAGAAAAACTATTTTTTGAAATTCCCATCTCAATTGGCAAAAATAATAACACGCAGTGATTTATAATGGATGAAGCTCTCAGTACACTAGTCATATGATCATGATTCATATTGCAAAATGATCTTAAGTTTTCTGAAGACAACTACAACAAACAAACATAATTCCAGCAAACATTCAATTCAGAGCCACAGTCCAATACAGAAATATCTAACTTACAGGATCTCAGTTATTTGAAAATATTTTAAGCTACAAGCATCCAAATGACATGATTCAAAAAATTCTAGAAAGCTAACACAATAACCAACAACTTTGTTGAACACCACTTTGGCAAATAATGACATTGGCACTGAGTTTAAACATCAAACATTCAACACATATAATCTGCCGAAATAAATTGTTTACATACAACACTTTGGTAATACATATATAACAAAAGCTATAGTCCTCATAGTCATGCAATTCTAAAACCTATACCAAGTTAGCACTTAAGACTACAACTTTCATGTTGAACATTTTCACGTTCGAGCACATTTGATACCCTTAAACGGATCATACAATAGCCATATGTGCACAGTCACGATTTCATAAAACTGGGTGCACAATAGTTTTGTAAAAATCATATCAAATTCATTTTAAATCATTTTTCCAATATTCCAAAGGCTACAAAAAGATAACATGACAAACTTTATTTCGTCAGAAGAATACATCTCCAAGAAATGGGTTCTTGAAGGTCAAAACAAGCCCACGATAGAGGTACCGATCATAGAAAATTTTCATTCAAATTTTGCTCAAACTTCATCAATTATTCCTTATTCATTAACCACTTAATTAAAACCCTAAAACATGATTTCTAGCATATCATAACATAAACTTTAACAGAAATTTACAGCTTATAATTACAACATCAGACTCATGCAGCAAGGCAAGCATGAGGCTCATAATATCACAAGAACCCCCTTCAAATGATACCCAAGTTTAACCTTGCAACTCCCATGATATAACCTTCATTTGAGCCTTGTCTTTCAAGATGGCATGCGAATGGTCCTTACTCGGGGACACTGAACAAAATCTTAGAGCGAGAATATACTATAGGCAGAGCTTAACTCGATAACGACATACAAAATACTCACAACAAGGAACCTCTGAAGTCAGGACCTCACTCTATATCACCAGAGTTTAACATTAAACACTAGAGTTCACATTCACCAAAGGAGGATAGATTTTCCTAAGCCCCAAAACATCAAAATCAGCAAGTCACATCACAAGTAGTTTTATTGCTACTCATGCTAAAGCATATACACAAATCACATTATAAGTAATCTAATTATTACTTATATAAGACATACCTTGAGCAGTGCGGCATGACGAAGGCGAGTGGTCACACGCAAGGTCACATTTCACATAAATACATAATCACATAGAGCAGTCTACAGAAATGCAGACTGGCTCTGATACCAAACTGTAACGCCCCACTTTGATTTTTAAGAAATTGCAGACTTTCCAAAATCAATAGAACGTTTTTTTTAACTCATTTCAAAAATCAGCTAAAACTTAGGCATTACTCAATATTTACACAGTCCAAGTCTTATCTGGACTCGCAGGGATTCATTACCTATTTTCACATGATTTTCATTAACCCGATTCACAATATATCACATGATATTCAGCTCAAACACCACAACATGAATAATCGAAAATAAATATAATATCCAAGTAAACACGTACTCATGAATATCCAAAACCAACATAGGTCTACCAAAATATTCCAACCAACAATTCAATAACACGAGTTTTGAAAATGGTATCGAAACGTCTAAACCAAAAGAGGTTCATAAAGACAACATAATTATTCAAAAGCAGAAGCATAAAAAAACATAAGCATTAGTCCGACCCACTCGCCCTTTCTCGTCATGCTCGCCAACTTGTCTAACCTGCATCCGTGAAGAAACAGGTGGGGGTGAGCACAAATAGAATCTGTGGTGCTCACCACTATGCATGTAAATAACAACATACGGTATGGTCGCAGTATGAACATAAATCAATAGAACATGTCACATCTCCAATCATAACATACCAATTCACCTTACTCATGTGTACACACTTATCATTAGCTACTGCTAGTCTTTTCGAAGCCATCGACATGTGTCTTACATCGTCAACTAGAATGTAGGAGTACATGTCGAAGGCATCGTCATGTGTCTTACATCGACATACATATCGAAAGTATCTCAATGTGACTTACATCGACTTACATACCAAAGGCACCTCCATGTGACTTACAACGATATGGCCTTTCATTAGGACATAGGGAGACTTCCTATCATTAGGCACCATCCAAGGACATACAACTCATATCGACGGGGACTTGACGGCAAAGACGCACTGCGAGTGGCTGGTAACGGTCCCGAGTATGCCCGATGCTATACTTTTCAACTTCATCCCCATAACTTCTCTACTGAGGGGTGTTCCTGGAAGAGGATTTTTGTCTCATGCAGTTAACCTTTACCTTAGATGTAAGTACATTTTACTTGTTTCACAAGCTGTAATCCAGTAATGCTCTGCTATCCACAGTGGACACATGTTAATATACCCACCACTTATGGGGCATGCATACATTGGTGATGTATTTTTTTGAACATATTAACATTAGCAATGTGTGCATGCCACATAAACGATGAACATATTAACATGTGTCCACCATGGGCAGGGGAACATTATCTATCTCCTAAAATTACTAGCATTATTACATTTATTTGATTTGATTGCCCAATTATAGCCATGGGCATTAAATAGTCCAAAACCATTATTACACTTTACTTTCATACTAAGGTTGCAAACGAGTCGAGCGGCTTGCGAGCGCTTGGGTCAAAGCTCGACTCGAGTTTTATTTTGACCGAGCTCGAGTCGAGCTCGATCGAGCGACCCGAGCACGAACTTGGATCAAGCTGGAGCTCGTATTTTGCATTGCCGAATGGCTCGATATATATGTTAAATTAGTAAAATGTCCCTTATATATAGTTAAATAATATTACACATGTGTTTAATGGTTATTTTACTTTTCGACGTAAAAATTATTGAGCCAAACTCGAGCATTTTGATTTTGAGTCGAGCTCAAGCTATTATATTTTCTTATTGAGTCAAGCTCGAGCCTCATGAATCAAGCCCGAGCAACTAAAACAAAAAATTCAATCTTGCCAGATAAAGCAAATGTTCGATTTCACTCGACTCGTATGCAAACCTTACTTCACACTATACATAAAATCAGTTATATATTTTGTTGATTTGACAGATAAGCCTCCAATAAGTGATTTGTGGTACTTTTTGGATTTTCAATCGCATAAGATATGGGCCCCCATTCATAATGACCTCTCGTTGGGCCCAACTGGAAATAACAAGATATTGCAAACACCAGCATTGCAGTTCAACTTGATGGGCCCAAAGCTATATGTGAACACAACTCAAGTAAATAAATGAATCTCATATCTTTGGACTGATTTTGGAATTTCATTATGTGATTAGTTTAGTTGGTTGTGTAAATTGTGAGCTAAAAGAAAATTGATTTGTTTTGGTAAAAATAGGTAACGTCGGAAAAGAGTCCGGTCACGGGAGTGCGGTTGTACTTGGAGGGCATCAAGGGAAATAGGTAGGTATATAAAAGAGGAAAATATGCACACATACAATAGAGCAGTTTTTGCTATGCAGCCAACAATTAGGTCTATAGTTGAACAAACCATAATACAACAAGTAAATCATACGATATTAATAAAATTATTAAGTAATCAGAGATTATATAATACAAATAAGTAATTATACCATATTCTCTGATTACTTAAATAATACTAATAATTTAATTAATATAGTATGATTTACTTGTTGTATATAAAATAGTTGCTCCACTATAGAGCCAACTGTTGGCTTTATAGCAAAATTGTACCATAGAGACTCATATGATTTATTACTGAGTAAAGATTATATATAAATTGATGAATTATCAGGTTAGCCATTCATCTCCAGCACCTGGTAACCCCTCCTCTTCTCCTACAGCGCCAACGACAATCACAGTTGTGGTGGCGGAGCACCCAACACATAACAGACAGCCAACATTACTTTGAAGCCGTCCAGTGGAAGAAATTCTCCCACATCTGCATAGCCCCGGTGAAATATGACCCCAATTGGATTAGCCTCCAACAGCCATCGGCTTTCATCGTCACTGGAGCATAGCTACACGTGGACAAACACGATGCCACAACAGTGCTCCATCTTCGCCCCTTGTTTTCCCAGCTCTCTGGATGTTATGTCGTGCAGTCCAGCTGGATGGACCGTGCGTCCGACTGCCACTCCATCAGATCTGCCTTTTTCTCTACCATTAGCGCCTCCTCCATTCGCGATCGGGATCCCGAGCAAGTGATTGTGGACTCTGGAGTTTATCCGACGGGCCCACCTGCCGCTCAATTGCAGAAGAAGATGTTGAGATTTGTGGACACGTCCGAGATCTGCCATGGGCCGTCAGATAACCCAGGCCACTGGTTGGTCACGGGGGCCAAGTTGGATTTGGATAAGGGTAAAATATGCCTCAGGGTCAAATTCTCGCTCTTGAATTTCGCTTCTTGACAAATAATAAAACTAATGGCGGAGATAATTTTGGAAGTGCAACTTCATTGTAGAGAAATGATATAGGTACATAATACTATACATAGAGGTGTACATAACACTCACATTAAGTGAGTCCTACCAAAATTAAAAAATCAAGTGGACTCCACTCTATTTGAGTGTTATGTATTTCTCTATGTACATTTATTATGTACTTGTAGCATTTTTCTTCATTGTATATTTGTAAACAGTATACATTTTTATTTTATTTTATTATTATTATTTTTTATTCCTTTTTTTGTAAAGAAAGAAAGGTTACACATCCATATTCTTTATTTAATTTTTTTGTAACAGTTTTTGTTTTTTATTATAGTAAATTGAAATCACTCTTTTTTTTCAAATGATAAACTAAAATTAATTAGTTCGAAATAACTTTTACATCCAGACAATCAAGTGATCGAAATGGGCTCCAACCTTCACAACGAACAAGAGGAGAGAACCCGAAGGGGAAGTAATAGATACGACCCAAACTGCAAATACAAAGATACAATGACTAACCAGAATCAAACCCAAAGGTACAGTTCATACACTGAGAAGTGACATCATATATATGAGAAAGGTGATCTGCCAAGGAAGGATGAAGCACCTTCATCTCCTGAAGATTAAGGACCTTGTCCTTATCCTTGAGGTACCAAGCAAACTCTGACCAATCTAAGGAAGGGGCCAAGTCCATGCTCCAACAGAAACCTGCACAAGTGCTTCCTTCTCATTTGCAGCTTACACCATAGGTTTTCTCCAGTACTAGATCTCTTCTTCCTCCATGTTTCTGCAAAAAGATTCAAAGAAGGCCCCCAAAGAACCCAAGACACTGACGAATAAACTCTTTCGTCCTACCTTCTTAGAAAAATAATTTTTGTGACCCTTATTTGAAGACAAATTATACTTCACAAGCTGCACCCCTCCTTCTGATATGTTGGAGAATTCAAGTCAATATGAGATAGCCTTTTCAACAATTTCCGTCTCCTGCCAATACACTTTTTTCCATACACAATCATTTCGACTTTTCCACAAGTTCCAAACCAGGAGAGCATATATGCTCATTCTATCAGATATGCACTAATCTTCTTTGATGTTGCAAAGATCCAGTAGCCGGAACTGGAAGTTGTTATTTTTATTCTCAAGAGAATTCCATTGCAGACCCGATATTTTTCAACAAGTCACTTCTCTGGGACATATATCTTCTTCCTCTTCACCACAGACCCACACCACATGTCAGAAAGTACTCCTCTAGAAACAAAATTGTTCTTTGAGCTGACAAAGTTGTTCCAACACCTTGAAACATAGTTTTTAACCATGCCTTTGATTGGCAATTTCCAGGAGATTCTCCACATTCTTCTCAAGGCACTTGGGTAGTCACTTGAAGAAGCGTCATAATGGTTGGACTATAGGCTTGAAAGCACTACTTTTTACACTTCTTTAAAAGAAAAATTCCCTTTTCTACTCAAGTGCCAGATGAGATGATCCCTGCCACCATGAGGGTTCAAAGGAATATTAAGGATTAACTCAGCATCAACAGGATTAAAAGTTCGAAGATTATGATGTCTATCCCAAGACATGTTGTATTGATAGATTAAATCCTTGATTCTACTCAGTATATTCTTATCATCTGGAAAGGGACAACTAGGTTTAAATGAAGAGCTATTGGAAATCCAATGGGAGTCCCAAATGTGTATATTATGACCATTCCCTATCTTGAACCTAACCCCTAAGTATAAATACTTCCTAGCTCCCAACCAGGTCCTCCAATGCGAGGACACTCCCTCTAGATCTAACCTCCCCTAGGTTTTGGTTCTAAAAAATATCCACCCTTAAGAACTCTACTTAATAAAAGGTTGGGTTTGGAAACAAGTTTTTGGAGTTGTTTGACTAGGAGGGCTTCATTGAATTCCTGCAAATCTCTAAACCCTAACCCTCACACCTCCTTAGGATGTACTAACTTGTCCAACCTAGCCAGTGCACTTTGTTGACCCCAGAGTTCTTCAATCCCACTAGAAGTTTAAAATGTACCTACAAATAATACTCAATATTCCCACATGAATTCTGATGCATGCAAAAAACATGAGTTGGTAAACCAGATAAAATATACTTGATCAGTAATTCTCTCCTAGTCCAGTCATGTATTTGTTTTTCCAACTACTCAACCTAGGATTCATACAGTCACTCACAAAAGAAATTATCTCTTTTTCCTACCTATAGTGAAGACCTAGGTATTTGGCAGAACTCACTCTAGAGATGCCAGAAAACACTTGACAAATGTTAGCAATGGTGTCCTTAGAAGTATTCTTAGAGTAGAAAATAGATGACTTATCAATGTTCACTTTTTGCCCCGAGTCATTTCCATAATCAGACAAGATACTCAAGACAAGATTAGCAGGATACATGTTGGCTTTACGGAACAAAATGTTAAGAAAAAAGAAATAAAAGTAAATAGAAAAAGAAAAAAAAATGTGAGATACATGAAGCAAATTTTCCAATCTTAATCCCTTTATAATTAGAATGATGTTTAGCTTGGGAAATAAGGTTTGAAAAGGCTTCAGACACAAAAATAAAAAGATAAGGAGACAGGGGCTCTCCATGTTATAAACCTCTTGAAGGTTTTAACAGACCATGACATTCCCCCATTGATGTTGAAAGAGAAAGGTGAAGAACAAATGCAGCTTAATATCCAAGATATAAATTTAGCATAGAAGCCAATTCTATTTATGATTCTAGCAACAAAGTCCCGTTCAAGTCTGTCAAAAGCCTTGACTATGTCAAGCTTTATGGCCATGAAGTAGTCTTTACTTTTTCTTTTGCTATTAAGGTAATGGATGCATTCATTGGCCACAATGACGTTGTCAAGGATTTGTCTTCATTGGGACGGGGAAATACAAACATACAAGACACCTTTTAACCTATTAGCAATGATTTTGGAGATGAGTTTGTAACTGACATTGAAGAGACTAATAGGTCTAAAGAAACAGAACAAGGCTTCAATCTTTTTGGGATGAGGGAAATGACATAATAATTCAGCCCCCTGGGTATTCTACTAAAAGAAAAGAAATTTTTAACCCCCATGATGATTTTCTTTAATACTATGCCAGATGGATTGAAAGAATCCTGTTTGTGAGCCCATTTAGGCCAGGGGCATGTTAGAGGTATGTTGTAAAAGCTATGTTTTGCATATTTTATCAATTCCAGTTTGATCTGGCCATCATGTTTCGGTCAAAGTACATATGCTTGCAGTTTATTTATTTATGAAATCATACTCCTTGCCTTACATTGAGATAGTGTGGTTCGTGGTGTATCGAATGGAAAGATCTTCTATCGGTTCCTTGTAAGACTACACTATTCATTCACAGTCTAGACAGGCAGTGGGTACCCCTATTGGAAAAAGACTAAAGTGTATTCTTGATCAGGTTGGTCTTTGACTGGAGAACAACACTAATGCTTATGGTAAATAGTGAACATGACCTCGGAAAGATAAGATTATTAGACTCACTAATCGTTGTTGTAATCTAGACCTTTGGTTATTGATGCGTTCTCTTAAGCTGTATGATAATATAAAACGGGCATGTATATTCAGTACTTGTTTATTTGATTTACCAAGGGTGGTTCCTATTCCGTTAGGATGACAGACTCGGTACTTTGGTAAATAAGGGTTTTTATATGATGTGCTGTTATAAATTATTTACGGTCACTATGTTTCAGTTCACTGGATTGATGACATCCCCGAAATGAGCTCAGGAAGGAACATTATGTTAAACCCTGCAGGTGGACGATTGTCCGATATAATGGTTAATCAAGTGAGTGGTACTAATTTTGGAAATGAATAAAAAGGTGATTAATTACTTTATCAGTAATTCTTTTAATCAACCGACGTTATATCTTAAACATAAGAAGATAAATCGAATTTACCTAGAGGCTTGAAGTCGGGATTTTATAAGTAAGCAGTGAGACCGTTGAGGTTGCATGTGTATATGATTACTATCCTATTTGTGTTCATGTTGAATCGATACATAGTATGGATTTTGCCACTGAACAGAGAGACGATGCTCACCCTTTTGTTTGTCAAGTTGATCGAGCTGGCGGCAGACACACGAGATGGGTCATCTTTAATTATGTTTATATTTCTGTAAACTCTGTTGAAATTTATATTCAAATTTGAACGTTTGAATTACAAATTGTTTAATAGAAACGTGTTTATTTGAAAACGTTTATTTATGTTTTGAATATCTTGGTAGAAATATTAGTTTTTGAGTAACGTATGTGTGCTTAAAATTGGAAAATGAGCTAGATTGAGTAATGCCCGTTAAACAAATTTTTAAATGATTTGCGAAAAAATAAACTAATGGTTTTTATTTAAAAAAATATTATGTATTTTCTCTTTTAAATTACTGGGCGTTACACTTTTAGCACCTCATCATACGTTCGAGCAGGTGTCTTGGCCAGGGACGCACGACATGGTCCTGCTCGGAGACTTTTGATCAACCCACATGCATTATCACATGATATTCAGCTCAAACACCACAACACGAATAATCGAAAACAATATAATACCCAAGTAAACACGGCCTCATGAATATCCAAACCAACATAGGTCTACCAAAACATTCCAACCCAACAATTCAAAAACACGTGTTTTGAAAATGGTTTCGACACATCTAAACCAAAAGAGGTTCATAATGACCACACAATTATTCAAGTGCGGAAGCATAAAAAAAAAACATAAGCATTAGTCCGACCCACTCGTCCTTTCTCGTCATGCTCGCCAACCTGTCTAGCCTGCATCCATGAAGAAACAGGTGGGGGTGAGCACAAATGGAATATGTGGTGCTCACCACTATGCACGTAAATAACAACATATGGTATGGTCGCAGTATGAACATAAATCAATATAACATTTCACATCTCCAATCATAACACACCAATTCACCTTACTCATGTGTACACACCTATCATTAGCTACTGCCAGTCTTTTC